ATATATGATATATATATATAATTATAGATATATGATATTGATGTTGCTGGGAGATACTAGGTAGGCTTGATAGATGGTAATTTAAACTTCCTGTAACACCCCTGGTACTTATTGAAATTCTTCTCTGGAAAGAATGTGAAGAAACAACTTCTTGGAAGTGGTTGTTTTTTTTTTTTTTAATAAAAAATGTAGTTTTAAAGATTGTGAGGATTGCACAAGGTAATAGAGGGTCCATTTTGCTTGTTTTGATATCAGTAGCACAAAAGTAGTACAAAAGAGTAAAGCAGTGCAACCAACCCCACTGCCCCAATCCCTGCCCACAGAAAAATAAAACTGAAAAAATATGGCTTATGAAAATGAGTTCTCATTTGTTCCTGTTCTGTAGTTACTACAGAGCCTGTTTCCTAACTGAAAAGTCTTTCCAGTGCCATTCATGATCACTAAAGTGGTAACAAAAAATGCTGTGAATGTTTGGAAATCCTAATGGTGGTGATGCTGGCTGTTTTCTAACTGTTTTTCAGACTGTAGCTAAAATGTTTGGTCACAACTCTAGCAAACTTCCTATAAGGAAATCTGTTTTGTGAGCAAGGAATTATTTTTGTTTTAAATGATGCAAGCAACTCCGTGCACCATAATTTAAGAGATCTTATTTTCCTCGAAGGGATAGATAGACCTTTTGGTAACTTTTTCCTAGTCTTGTTACCAAACAAGATTCAAGTCCCTGTTTTTAGGCAATGAATTTTCAGCAGGGCTTTGGCTTATACTAGAGATTCTCCAAAGGTACTCATTGTAATATGTGGAGGGAGGGATTTTCAGTGTTGGCCTTAGGCATTCAAAGTGAAGGCAGTGGGCTTAACTGCTGGATTCATAATAGATAAGTTAGTACTGAGTACCTTCTGAAATCTAATAATTGCATTGTGATGAGTGATTTGTAATGACTGAAATGCCTTGTTGATTTGTCTGAGTGAAATTTTATTCTATAATATGCCTACTAATCCTAGTTTAGCAAACTGTTTACAGTGTAAGAAAACCTGCTTTTAGTCTGTTTTTCAGGTCATAAAAGTTAAGGTTTGGAAAAGGTATCCTTACACTTCATCTAGTCGGAGGCCATTTCAGAGATGAGCTTAGAGGACAATTGTGAAATTAAAAAGGGTAATTGAATGAATCATATAAACCAGTGTCAGTAAATTAATGGGAACTACTAAGAATGGAAAGGAGAAAGAATTTTGCTGAACTGTAAAGAAGGAGAGTTACAGAAAACCTGAAGAAACCATAGCTAATTAGTGTGTATTTAGAGGTGGCAAGTTCAACAGTAAATTGAACAAAGATGACGTAATCAAGTATATGTAGTGATGTGTTTAGCACAGTATACAGAGATCTTCAAAACATTGGAACTGATTCAGTTTTTTTTTATACTGACTCTGTATTCAAATGCATACCACTGTTAGTAAATACACTGCGTCTTTTGTAGACGGTGGACATTCACAAAGAGAAAGTTGCTAGAAGAGAAATTGGTATCTTGACTACAAACAAAAACACCTCAAGAACTCACAAAATCATTGCACCAGCTAACTTGGAGCGACCAGTTCGCTACATCAGGAAACCTATTGATTATACAATTCTAGATGATATTGGACATGGAGTGAAGGTAGGTGATATTGTTAAAACAGCCAAACTGCAAATACATTGTCTTTGTATATTTTCAAAATAACTTCATGCTTTTCATGGTAATATACCAGTTTCTCCTTGCCTGGCCAGTGTGTCTACAAACATTAGAGGAGTCCTGTTCAATTTGCAGTTGCCTCTTCCTTGCCCTCAGTGTTTCTAAACCTTGCAAACCCACTGAATCTTATTTCTGAGGATATTCGGGACTATGAGTCTCCCCTTTTAAGATGCTTTGGAATACCTGTTTGTGTGATGCTGCTATTATTGTTTGGATCAGTTGCCAGGGATATACTTGGGGACTGAAAGGCTAATGACCATCACTTTTCTGTCTGAATTAACACCACAAAGTATGATCTAGTTGTAATTGCCACTGGTTTACTTTGAAGCTCACACGAAGAAAGGGTTTGCATAAGAAGTATTATGTTCTCCCTTCTTTCTGTCAGAGTCAGTTATACCCATATCCTGTGATGTGCTTTGTAAAAGTGAGCTCTCTGCAACTTTTGTGCCATATGGGGTTTCAGAATGAGAATATTGCTGCTAAGTTTGAAACCAGCTGGTTCTCCCTTTTAAGACTAGGAAAAAAGGAGGAATTTCAGGACAAAGATCTGACTGAGACACAACTGGTAGATGTTGTATGCAAGTGTTAGATCGGTGTATGCAATAGCAGTAATATCATGTCTGAGATTAGATATATATTTTTTAAAGCACGTCCTGAATGTAAATACAGTCTTGGCAGATGTGAGCTCATTGTTAACTTGTGCTGCCAGGAAAACAAGTACGGAAATGAGAACGCTGACAGTGTTAAAGTTCCAGGAGAAGAAAGGTAAATAACACAAAGTGGTGTCATTTTTTACATGACAAACTAACAAATCTGTGAACTTGCTAAGCAGCAGTAAGGTAAGATGCTTCTTCCAGTCAAAGTACACCAGAATTTCTTTTGTCTGACACCTAACTGCGTTAGATTATCTGTGTTGTTCAATTTGAACTGTCTGCTTGGATAGCAGTTTAAATGGCATTAGGTTGTTTAACCAAACTCTTAGAATTCAAATTCTGAACAGTCTGACTTAAATATCTTTCCCAAGCAGTTTTACTCAAGGCTTCCTCAACATCCTATTTGTTAACAGAAAGTTTTTTTTCCCCATTTCTTACCAAAAGAGTCAACCTCCGTTTGTAACTCTAAACAGATTTAGAAGACAAACGACTCTTTAAACTTGATTCGGAAAACAAAACTAAAGCAAAACCCCCTCGTATTAATAACTGCAGTTTTTACCAGGAAAATATTACCAATCTTGTATTAAAAATCTACTGCCAATTCTTATAAATATTGAATTTATGCAGGTCAGCAGAACTCCTTCTGGATATGGATGGAGCATATTAACCTGTAGGATTACTGTTGCTAATATTTTAATGATCACTTTTGTTTTAATGACACTGTTTTAGAACTCATTAAAGAATAGTTTTTAATTGCTCTGCAGCACAATCTTACTTAGCGCTGGCTCTAAACCATTATAATTGGTATCCCACTTACTTCAATGTATCAGAATCACACTGTGATGCAATGAATTACGTTCTAAAAGAACATAGTTCATGAAATGGATGATGTCTTAAATCTGTATATGCATCCATTTGTTATGCTTGTGATCTGCTTGAAACATCTTACAAATTATATTTACAATGTACTATATTTATCTAGAAAATGAAAAAGTATTGTGTACTTGTGAAACAATAAGCAGAGTACTTGAAATCATGCTGTCCGTAAGATCCGTAGATGTGTTCCAATAAGGTTAATCCTGTATTCAGCACAGAAGAAGGAACTCTCTTGCTGATAGGGAGATAGTGGCCAGTTGTGCTTATGAACTTGCTGGTTTTGTTCTCCTTGAGTAACTACAGCTTAGTTTACTAGATCTCTGACTGGAGAACAAAGAGGAAAAAAGAAAAGTGGTAGGAGCATAAAATTTGCCTGTTTATAGCTCTTTATTGTTTGAGCTGTGGCATTTTTCCCTTACAATGAGTACTAAGAAAGTGTTATTGCATAAGCAGCATTAAAGTTCTAGTTAGCATCAAGGTGCATCAGTCTGCATCCTTTGTCGTTTCTGCCTTTTCTGCTAAAGGGCTTCCCCTCTAGGACCCAGAATTATGCATTGTCAGGACAGTCAAAGAGCTAATGCATCAGGCATTCATTGCAACCCTTGAAACAGATAGCAAACTGGACAGCGAATGATACAGGTGATAAAGGGAGTATCCTTGGCTGAGAAATGCAGTATGCCATGTTGAGAGAGGTAGTATAGGCACTTGAGCACCTACCCCTTCCATTCAGAAATTTGGAGCATCACTGAATACCATCTTCGAGAAAAGGTGCTCTACGATATGGTTTCTTAATAGATGAGAGAGAATTTAAGTGCCAGCAGTCCTTCCTCATCTTCCCTTCCTAAAGCTGCAAGAATCTAAAGAACCTTTTGTATGAAAGAGACTTGCTTTCAAATTTTTTCAATGTTTCTTGAGTTATAAAGTCTTCCAGTCTGTTTGTCCTTCCAAAGAGTTCTTTAGCCAAGAGAATGAAAAAATGAAAGCCTGATCCATTTGAAAAGTGGTTTGTATTAAGGCACTGTAATTATCAGGCAGTGCTGCTGTGGAAAAGGTCTCTGCTCATGGACCCTCTAATGCAACTGGCCACTCTGGCCAGTACAGGGGGGACCTGGTTTTCCAGTGTAGCTGTATGAATAAGAGACCATTTTGGTTAACAGATTTGTGCAACTTTAAACTCAAACTCAGGAGATTTTCTACTAAATCAGATTGTTTCTTTTTTAATACGTTAGGATCTCTTTATGGCCTAAATAGATGAAACAGAGTAGTCACTCTGGATGCTTCAGTGTTGAGATTCTTGATATTTACTGTTCAGTGCTACAAAAAGTGTAAGAAATGTAACAACATGTTTAGATTAGCTGAACTGAAGACAGATCAAACAATATTAAAATAGAAAGACTAGTCTTTTTGAAAAAAAAATATATTATGGGGAAAGAAGATACCTTGTATTGTGCCAGAAAGATGTAGTACTTAACATCAAAAAGCTAGCACTTAGGCTTTAAAATAAGATTTCCCTGTTGGTTAATGGCTTAATATATAGTTTAGAAAATACTGCTGTGTGGTGCAGTATCCATATAGAGTGCTGTATTTCTTACAAGACATAATGATTTGCGCTTTATCTTTGTTCAAGAGGTATCACATGGCATCAGGTTAGGAGTTAACTAACAGCATTGTCTAGGAAAGAACACATATTAGCTTAATATTCTAGAGGCTTTCATTTCAGCAAATTGTAAATGTGCTAATGCATGCAACAGTTTAAATAAGGCTATTTGGCAGCTCAAATAAATTCATCTCTGAAGTTAATACATCTAGATCTCATGTTCCATTCTGAAAGAAGCTGACGTTTTGTTAGCACTGTAAGAACTTGAGTAGACAATGTACACAAGCATTTGAGCATTAATTTTAAGGTGTTAATATAAAGGCTTTGTGATCAATGTATATTGAAATTTTCAGCTTGAAAATCTTTTGTTCATGACACATTCTGCTTTAACCACTCTTTCTATGATCTACTGATACATTATTTTGTTAATGCTGAATGCTTAACTTTTTTCTTTCTTTTTCCTTTCTCTTCATATCCTGAAGTTCCAACTAACCTTTCAATGCTTTTTTTCCTTACCTCTTTTATTTGCTCCATTTATGCATTAAGTGGTTGCTTAGATTTAAGGTAAGAAACCCCAGGGCTGGATTTCCATTCTTATTCTTTTGAGACTATTACACAAGGGGAGATGATTAACATGAATGTTACTGATTGTTTAAAAGAACGCCAGCTCTCCCTCCTGTGTATCAGACCTTTCGTTGAGTGATTTCATTGCAGATAAACAGTTTATGATACAAATTTATGTATTTATATAAGGCAACTAACACAGTTAATTTAAAAATCTTTGTGGCAAAACATTGACTGCCTTCAGCATATCTACCAGGTCATTTACAAGGAAGGAATGTTGTGCTAACCTTGTCTAGACAAAAAGATACAGTGAATAGATAGCAACTGAATATGAGCCTCCTCCTGTGTAATATTCTTTTTATCCTATATACGGTGTAAGTTATGATTTGATTTGGATCAGTGTTTCAGTGTGAGATTGCTCAGATAATGGGCTCCAAAGGTGTGTAACATATTCAAATCTGCATTATTTTTTTAAAGTTGCAGTATCCTTATTTTTATTTTTTTTTTTCAGAAACTGCTAGCACTATTTAAATACTGAGAGGCATTTATGTGGAAACTTTCACAAATATGATAACTGTGAAATATATAACGACCCTTAAACAAGAAGCTAAGTGGTTTATTTAGTCGAATACTAAGTGGATAGTGCATCAAAGAACTCAGACTGAAGTATGTCAAATCCTCAAGGATCTTAAAGAGGTTGAAATTTTAGTAGCTTTAGTGGCTGGGGGAGGAGGCACAAAATTTAGGGGCTGAAGATTTAGCCATAAAAAGCATCAAATCAATTAGACAAGTAGCTAAGTAAAGTTACATGATATGGCGTTGGAGTTCGTAGCACATTAATAGATAGGTTATAGCTGTTATTAAATATTGTGGTATCATCCTTCTCTGGAAGTGCAACTGCTTCAGTGGTTTGGGGAAGAGGTAATGAAAATTTTATAGTAGCAGCTGCCACAGTTTTAAAGAGGGAACTGAATTTTAGAACATAGAATACCAATACATAGCATGAGTATATTAATTCAATTAAGTTCCAAGTTGATGGGAAATGTCTTTCATGACTAAGTATTTTCAATGACTGGAAAAAGCCTAAAGAAAATCCTGCACGTTCCTGAACAGGTTGCCTGTAAACCCAGGTATTACTGTAGATATCCCAATGACGTCCCTATGAAATTGGCCAGATGGTGAGGTATTTAAGTGGATGTAGCACATCTGATCACAATGGAAAATGTTTAATATATTACAGATTTCTCACATGTCATTTGAAATTTATTTTTGCATGAGTGTGTGAGGTACAGTATTTCAAGTCACATGCTGTTTAAATGAATTTTATTTAAGAATTCAAAAATATATCTCTCTAGCCCTTTGTCTGTCCACACAAAATGGATGCTTCTGATGCGGAATATGTCTTATTCTGGGTGGAGTTCATATTGGATGATGGTTTTCTCAGTGATCTTAAAAAACAATTTGCAAACTCAGTTTTCTTTGTTGCTTTCTGCAGTTGCAGTTATAAACAAGTAATGACTGCCCTAAAATAAAATTTAAAATTGTATAATTATAGATTATGTGTGAACTGCCATATCTATGTATCATCTGCAGTGGTGGTAAGAGTTCCTATAGCTTTTCAGATATTTTTACTTTTAGATTTGAAATGAGAAGAACATTTTTTGTTATAACTCCAGTTAAAATATTTGTTTTTACTAGAGTGAACCTGATCACAGTGGACTTAAGTTAGTCACTGTGCATCAGCCTGAAAGAATAAAAAAGAAGGCTACTAACCCTAGTTCTATGTGAATAATAATTTTATTTCACTTACAAGATACTGGATATGAAGTGTTTATCCTGCATTTATTTGTCATGGCTGCAAAGAAACCTAGTCTTAGCTAGCAGTGACAGTATTAAACTGACTGATTGTAGCTAACTGTGTGTGTGTCTGGGTAGCTTTAAATTTAAATTTTAAACCTATTTTGAATCCCAGCTGCGAGTTAAAGGAGTATCTGTAGCATCTCCTGTCAGCAAATCAATTGAAAATGCCATTGTTTAAGCCCTTTTGTATTTACCAGACTTGGTTCTTCAATTACTTCACTTAGATGGATGTGGTAAAAACAAGTAAACTCACTTGCTGAAGCTTCTGCTTGTGGTCATTTGCCAAGATAGGGTTGAAATTTAGACATTTCACTTCCATATCAACTGGTTAATCAACTGACAAACATATGGTTTAGTTAGACATGCAGAGTAAGTATTTGAGTGGCTGAGCACAGCCTGAAAAGGAATTTACTCTGAGGTAGCAGATGATGGGCCAAAAAATCTGTTCATCTTCTCTAGCATTAACAAGATGAAGCAAGGTTTGGAAAGGTAGTGTTCATTCAGCCTTAAGTTAGTTTTGCTGGAGTCAGGTATAAAATTGTTCAAGAAGGTTGGGTAGATACTTGAAGTTTCTGAACATGATCCATGAAACATCACTTTTTCTTATTAGATTTTGGGCAAAAGATGATTCTTTTGACAACCTGGAAGCTCTAGGAAATCCAATTTGACCACCTGAAATTTGTTTCTGGGCTGAGTCCATCTTTGGCTTTAGAAAGCAGCTCCTCCAGAGGTTTGATTGTGTGGAATGCCTGGTATTCAGGATGTTGGGGAGAAAACCCCCACTTTATTTTGGTAATTGAACTGACAATGAAATGGTCTTCAGAAGAGTAAAAATATGGATTGAAGTCTTAGTTGCAGGTAAGTGCCTTACAGTCGCATAAATAAGTGCTTTGGTGCAAATAGTTTTTGCACATCTGATTGCCAGCTCTGGTGTCTGAGCAACTATGTATTTTTGCACTTCTTGTTCAGTGAATATTTTCACTCATGAAAACATTCCCAAGAATTGAATTGAATCAACTGCAGAATTTCTCAGGTTTAACCAGTTCATTTCACTACAAATTTGTTATACAGTGGAGTGCTAAAGAATCTTAATCTGTTAAATGTTTATAAAAATGTAACTATGAAGGAAACTCAGTCATACATAGGACCATAAGAAGGTGATTTAATCACTGGGATCTGTGGAAAACTTGTTGCAAAAAAAAAAAAGGACAAATAAGTCTTAATTATTCAAAAAATTAAACTTAAAATTGTCATTTTCTAAGAGCTCTAGTCAGTCCTGTATCATGTCTTGAAGTCATCAGATGTGACCTTTCTAAAACTGACACTAGCTCAATATAGATAATATTGGTTGAAATACTGTTGTACTTTTTTAAACAGAATGGTCCATAGTGGTCCATTTCTTTGCAATTAATTTTGCAGCTGTTACTGTGGAGCTGGATCTCAGAGCACCCTCCATGGCGTGTTACTTACCAAGGATCTGCTTATTTTAAGTAGTTTATGCAGTTTTTTCCTCAGCAAAGGTTCAAATTCCAGCTCCAGTGCTGACAGTTACAGCTTTGGTAGATGTTTTCTTTTGTAGTGCAGGTGCTTGCTAATTCCCGTATAAAAAGTTTCTGCAAGGTATCTAGTAAAAGAATAGCTTATCCAAGGTCTTACTAGAATTAATTTGGTGTTCCTCTGTGTAATTTCAGTTGGTAATATTTTCTACTTTTTTGCTTCCATGGGAAGAGGCAAAAAAAAAATTGGAAAAATCTCTGAATGCATTTTGTATAGATGCTGTGGACTGCTTGACTGTTAACAGGGTTTTCTTCCTTCTTTTAGAACAGTCACCTGTTTTTTTTCTGAGCTTTGTGCCCAAATCATTACTGCCTACCTTATTTTTTTATTTTTTTATTTTTATTTTTTCTTAGCAGGGCCATTAGCTGTTTTGGCAGTTGTGAGCAAAGGCAGAGATACCCCTTTGTGTTTCTGGTTGCAAGCTCTGTTTTGCCACACAGTTTCCTGAAAGAATTTGCAAGCTATTAATTAAAAACCAACTGTTGATCTGTGGGGTCCTGCAGTCAAACCAACCACCAATGGACAGACACGTTCCTCTGCTATCACCCTCCAGTTAAACCAGTTGCGTCTGGATGGTTCCAGCTGTGCAGAGCTAGGGGAACTGTCATCAGAAGCAGTGCAACTTCTGGCAACTTCCAACTTAATCCAGAAAATTTGTTTTTGAAACTTGTCAGCAAAGGCAAATGTGACCTTGAGTTCTAGTGGTTGGTTCCGATTTTAGAAGTTTGTAAGAAGGATGTGCGTGGATGAGGATTTGTGTATGGAAACACTCTTTGCAGCCATGTGTGCAAAATGTAAAAGGCAATAGAGTAAAGTTTTGCAAGAAGGGGGCATTAATGGCTTCCCTGTTTTTTCTTTTTCTTTCTTTCTTTTTTTTTCCTCCTAGTAGAAGTCATCGTAGAAGGGGACAGTTGGAAGTGTTACAAATTTTGTGTCTCAACAGAGGTTGCAACTAGTTGAGTTCTACATTTTCTTTCTCCCCCCCCCCCCCCCCTTTCCTCAAGGCAGTCTGTAACCTTTTTTAGTGTCTTGCGTGATATTCTTTCCACAGATCTGCCCATTTTGATCAGAACTGTTGGAATAATTTTATATTCTTTGCTCTTCTGTGATTATTTGGCCATAAGTGAAAGAAGTTACTCAGATAAGGTTGTAGAACTTACAGTAGCTAATCTTAAAGCCATCTGTCCTGTCAGATTTGAAGACAGCCCTGCAAACTTTGATTACTTGCTCTTTCAACATTTCAATTTCAATGTTGAAAAGTCATTTCAAAAAGCCTGAAACTAAGCTCACACTCAGTGCACTTCCCCATCTTTCAGTGTAGTCCTTCTTAAGAACAGTTGCTTTGTGACTAAAGTTTCTTGGCTAACAAAGGATCACTTTTTCTTTGGCCAGATTTTCTAAAGCTCTCTTCCCATCCTATGTCAAGGATTCACAGTGTTTAATAAAAGTGACTAGTAGTCACTGGAGTTCTGCTTAGTCAGGGAAATATTCCACTTCTTAGTGTATGCTGAGTGATGTGACTGCATCCTCCACCCTTGTTGCCCTTTCTTTCCATGTAGCTCTAGCCCAGTGGAAGTCTAAAACTTCATTTTTGTTCCTGCAGTGATTGTGTACAAATAATAAGATCCTTTATGATTAAATATGTGGAATTTTATGGTAACTGTAGAGGGATAGTTAGCGGTTTCATAATCTGGTAAGAAACAATAGTATAGACAGTTAAAACACCTAAATGGCCTGAATGAATTCAAGGGTACACAGGTTGGTTTGAGTTTCATGTCAGCTCAAGACATCCAAAACCGCTGCCCACTAGGCTTAGTGGTCTATTCGAAATACAGAAAGTGACAATGCAGCAAGTGTTTAATTAAGGTCGGTTTTTTTGTGTGTGATTTTTTTGGACAACTCAGGTAGGTGGGTGAAACAGGCATCTTTAATGAAAGAGGAAATACAGGGGGTGCTGCAACTTTAAAAAAAAAAACCAACCAAACAAAAAAACAAACAGATTTTGTGCTATTTCTTGATGTTCCGTGTATAGAATAAAATATACTTCATTTTACACTTTCCTTCTCCCTTCAAGTAGTTGTAGTTCAGTGCTTACCTTGTCCCTCACTTGAATTAACTTTAGATTTCTTGTTGCGTAGAGTTGGCTTAAAGGACTTCATAATGCTGTACAAAAGAATTTTGTCTTAAATTGACATTACAGAGCACTTTTGCACAACTAAATCTAAATGTCTGGTTTTGAATCTGACAAAAAAGCCTTCCAACACTTGGTTTTCTTCCCAGCAAATTGAAAATGTGATAGCACTGGGATTGTTTATAGCTAGGGAATCAAGTTTCAGTGGGTTAGAATACTGAATATGTTACTCTTTACATTGTTCTTAGTATTTATAAATTCACAAATCTAAAGATTGCCAGGGTTTTAATCAAGTTGTTACAGTCAAATTTTAAAGGCGTAATTTGCTTTTAATGCTGCTTGCAAATACTCTTAATGCCTTGATCACTGTGCCTTTTTATAAGGGAGCTGGGGGCAGCAGACAAGACTTAAAGAAACACTGTGAAATAGAGCATGACAGGAGCAACAGAAAAAGGAATGTGCGCATACTTATTTAGGTTTGTTGAATATCTGTCTCTAAGCAATGGTTTGAGCATTCATAAATCAAAGCTGTTCAACGGAGACTTGTAAGAAGGTGATGTACTGATGTAAGCATGCATGCATTGGGAGAATTACGCTTGGCTGGCAGTATACGGATAAGCAATATGCCTACATTGGTAACAATTGTGTATGATTCCTAGATTGATCAATCAGTCAGGAATGCAGATGATTTCTTCTTTTAAAAGAAGTTAAGAGTAAATGCTCTTATATAAAAGTTACTTCATTAATATTTTAACCTGAAAGATGGGGATGGGACTACTGCAATTACATTGCCTCACATCGCTGCTAAATATTTTTCTCCTCATCCATTTATTAATCAGTTATTGGAGATCAAATTTCTACAGATTTTTGGGGGTAGGGAGGAAAGTACATCTCTGTTTTTCTCCATGTAGCTGTTGCTCTATCTTTACATACACATAAATAATGTTTATAATAAATATTATCTTTAAAAATTTTGTTATTGTACTGTAAAAACATTAATGGGTCATATTTGTAGATTACTTTGACTTCTTCATTTTTGTATGAATTACATTAAATTGTGGCCTATTAGATAAACCTTACTATTTTTAAAGAGTATTCAAAAATATTTTTGCAAATTTGCCATTCAGTAGTGCAGCCTGAAATAACTGCATTTATCTCAAAAGACAACTGTGAAGTTTAACCAAGTTAGATACATGGCTGTATTGTCAGTGATTTAATGTTTGTGTGATAGCCTAAAGGCAAATTCACTTTTTGTGTATACAGTTTTTAAAAACCCTGTGTAATAAAGAGTCCTTTGAGCACAACTCTTGACTTCTAGCAGAGTGGAAATTGCATATAAAATGCATGGCCTCTCAATTTTTTTTGTTTGTTTAAACCTTCCCTTACTTAGAGATAATTGCTAAAGGCATCTCAGTGTCTGTCCCACTAGAAGCTGAGCTTAGTGAAGGCCGTTTTTCTCCCCATTCTCTCCTGCAGGTCAGCACACAGAATATGAAGATGGGTGGGCTGCCTCGTACAACACCACCCACCCAGAAGCCACCAAGTCCACCAATGTCAGGAAAAGGAACTATTGGGTAAGTGCAGTTAACCAAATGTGTAGACAGCTTTGGTGAACAAAAGGGACAGAAGGGAAGATTCTCTCTCTTATTCCACACCCCCCCCCCAATATTGCGGGGTGTTTTTTTATCTTGGTTTAGTTTTGTTGTAACCATTCACAAAGATCAAGAAGTGTTATAGCTGCATCCTCTTATACCGATCATATCTTCTATATCAGTTAGTGTGTTTCTGCCACAAGACAGTGGGCATCACCAGCCTTTCCCAACAGGTAACTCCTTATCATTGCAAAACACAACTACATGCTTCAGAGTAAAAGTCATTAACTGTGTGGCTTTGACAGCTGGTGCTAAACAACTGGAAAATTAGTATGTGGCGCTGTTCATTAATTATTTGTACTGTGTGTGATAAGTACTTTCCTATTAAATCTGTGAACTTGACTTTGACCTTAGGAAACAATGTTATATCTGAGATGAATGTTGTTTGTTGGTATGTGATTCTGTATATACATAGAGATAATGATGCTTTACTTTTAAAACAAGATCTGGTTTACTCTTAAAACAAGAATGGGGTATACAACATGGAGTTTATCAATAGGAAAAGCATCTGGAGATTGAAGTACATGGAAAACATCCGTAATTGCTTTTTGTCACCCTGTGAGGTAGATTCTACAAGCTTATAGAAAAGCATTTTTTTAGATCCTATTAATGATTATTATATCAGATATCTTTTAAAGAATGAAAAATCTTAGCTTTTGTCTGTATAATCTTAATTTGCTTCTGAAATATGCTTGTCCTTTTGTAGGCGTCACTCTCCCTATCGTACGTTGGAGCCAGTACGTCCTCCGGTGGTACCAAATGACTATGTGCCTAGCCCAACGCGCAATATGGCTCCCTCCCAACAGAGCCCTGTTAGAACAGCTTCTGTGAATCAGAGGAATCGCACATACAGGTATTCAGTGTAGTTCTGCACAAAGCATGGTTAGTAGTGTATAAGCATATGGATAAAAGTCAAATCCATCAGTATCTCTACAGTGAAGCTTGCTAATTCATGATATGGACTGAGAGTGTCATTTGGTATGATGAGAATGCAGTCTAATAAAACCAGAATAGTTAATCATATTCAAGATTGTTCACTTAACCCCCTAGTCAGCTTAATGTTAGTGCTATCGGTTATAGTACTTAATGAATTACTAAAATTGTGAATTCTTTTAAGTAGGTAGCTCATGATATTATTTTACAAAATGCTTACATAACTGGGAAAAGACTTGCACAGAACTTCTGCATGTTGAAGGACTACATAGTACACTTATAGTTCACATTTTTGTTTGAATAGTCTTTGATGTTTATAGATTGAGTAGCTGAAAAAGAGCATTATATTTTAAGCATACTGATAACTTCAAACACAAAATAAAGTTGAACTGTATTACCTAAGGATCTGCAGAGAACTAGCCTTTTCTCTAGGATAGCAAGAGTTTTGTGATGTCAGAGATCTAAATACTTCTCTTGAAATCTTTACCTTTAAACATTGTAAGTACTTGAGGATGACTAAACAGATGGTCTTAAAATATAAGAAAAATTGACTTTTACTTTACTGTTTTATAATTTCCAAATTTCAGTATTCTCATATGAAAGCAGCGTCTAAACAGTCTACCTGTTTTAGAAGTGTCTGGTTTAGTGGGAAAGATTTTTAGAGTTGGTTTTCTGTTGAGGAAAACTGCAATTTTGTAAGGACTACAACACTTTATTTTCATGGGAACAAATTTGATAAAAACTTTGTTACAGGTTTCAGCTAATACTGGTATGCCAGCTGCCATAGTGCCCAAGGCCAATGATAAAGTTGCAGAGGCTGGAGGAAACGGAAACCTAGGGGAGTCAACCCCAAGGTGACCCCAAGCTGACCAGTTAATACTATTCATACCATAAACATCACGTTCACTATAAACTAGGGAGTTTTCTGGGGACTGCCCTTCTTCCTCCTACTTGCCTTCTCTTCCTCTCTCTTCCTCCCTCTTCCTTGGCTGACATCTTCAGAGGGACTTGTTTACCATCCTAACCTTGAGACCTACTCCACCACAATACTGGCTGAGTATAACTTGGTGTATTTTATAACTGTTATTATTTTATTAAATATATTTTTATTTCAACCAACGAATCTTCTTTCATTTTCCCAACCCCCCTCCCCAGGTGGGGAGGAAACATCAGGTGATAAAGCAACTCTATAAACCATGACAATAAATTCTAGGAAAAAGGTCTGTATTTACTCAGTAGGGGTTTAACAATATTGGAATGGTGGAACAAGGTTCTGGAAGTGTTTTATTTTTGAGCAAGTTCACTAAGACTAACTGAAGAACCTGTTGTGTTGTAGTCAAAATGAAGAGTTTTAGGAAAACTAAGCTTTATTTAGGTTTATATAATTCTTGTTTCTTTTCTCTTGTTCCCTGTTACTTTTCTGAATTAGGAAGGTGCTATGTGAGGGATCTTATGCTTCAGCATGCACAGCAACATATTCACACCCTAGGTTATTTTGGTTTCTTGCAGCAGCAGTGGGAGTAGTGGAGGAAGCCACCCAAGTAGTCGGAGCAGCAGTCGAGAGAACAGTGGAAGTGGAAGTGTGGGTGTTCCCATTGCTGTTCCCACGCCATCTCCTCCCAGTGTCTATCCAGGTAAATGGAAACCTGCTGTTCCTCCTTCTGATTCAGCATTAACCTTTAGCATTTGCAAATCTCCTAAACTCCACGTTGAGTAAACCCCAAGATAAGTCTTGAAGTTTATTGTCTGGAAACATGCAAGCCTTGAAAACTGCTTCCTATTGACAGCATGACTGAATCAAGTAGTATCTTTTCTGGGAGTGCCTGATGTGCTCTAATGCTTCTTTTAAGTATGAATTTATTTATCAGAAATTTTTGCCTGGCTGCCTGCATGTGACTAGATAGGACACATCTTTTTCAGTGGGCTGGGAAAAACTTCTCCCTTGCCCTTTTAAGCAAATAAATGCTTTTTCATTGGCTGTTCATGCAGATACACAGACGCATGCTTTCAGAAAACTAGACGAAAAGAGGCAGGCACAGAGTAAATCTTTAGTACATTAATGCAAGCCTAAGTGAGTTGTCACAAAAAGATGCTTGTTCAATGTAATCGCCCCAGTCTTTCCAGAAATAGGAAGTGATATTAATACTTCTTTTTCCTTTGCTCAGCCCTCTCATTGAAGAAGAGCATATAGTTGGCTTGCAGGGTGTTCTGAAATACATGATGCTTCTGAACCAAAGAACTGGAAATTTTTAGCTTGCCTCCTCTGTGTATTTTCTAATTCATACAAAAGCTAAAAGCAGCTGTGCTATAGATTGAAGTGTAAATAACATGATGTAAAGACATCTTTCAAAAGTGATGGCTTTCAGTGAAAAGTTCTGGGTTGTTCCCTTCAGACCTGGAAAGAAGTGGATTTTCTTGACCCTCATTTACTGTCTACATAGGAATGAGCCTTTCTTTAACAGCTCCATTTTTCTCTCATCTCCTTGTACATTCTAAAATACTATGCATCTAATAAATAGCTAACACTGAATAGTCAAAGGCTTTCTCTAATCCTGGCTAACATCTCTCCTTATTAACTCCACCTCTTCCTCCTCTCTTCACTTAGCCCCTGCTGGCTCGGCTGGCACTTCTCCCCTTCCTGCTACCTCTGCTCCTGCCCCCACTCCTCCTGCTCCTGCCCCTTCCTCTGCTGCCCCAGATGCTGCTGCTGCTGCTGCAGGAGCTCAGCCCCTTGCTGATGGCTTCACCTCTCCAACTCCCCCTGCTGTTTCTGCCACACCCTCTGCAGGTGAGTGTCTGCTCCAGCTCGGGGGCAGATGAACCCAGGTGTGATCACCGCCAGCCAAGGCTTTTCATCCTTACTTCAGAAGCACTGATGTTTTTAATTTATTCTTTTAAAACTAAAAAATATCTGGTAATACCCAACTATAAGGTAGTGATTACAGTAGACAACTCAAGGTGTGCTAGTTTTATAAACAGCAATAATTTAATTTTATAATGTAATTCTATTTTACATTTATATAATTATTTATCACGTTATCATTTTATTGCAGTTTGTATACTGAGAATCTCATAGAATAATTCTGTTTGGGGTGGAAACTGCGCTGATAGTTCTGGGTCTGATTACTCTCTTTCAGTAATGAAATTTAAAAACTGCGTATAGCAAAATGTAATTTATATGACTTGTCTCTTCAGTGCTTTCAACTGACAAGTCCTCTTTCAATGAACTGATAAAAAGAGCATTTTTTTTTTGTTTGGTGTCAGGTAAAATCCAAGTTTTTATTATGTAGAATAGTAGTAAAGCATTTTTTCCACCCATATTTTTCATTTTCTCATATGCTGAAGTTGCAGCATACAGTAAGTACTTACTAACCATAACACTGTTCTGTATCAGCTTTTGATGAGGAGTTATACCTGCATTGTAAAGATCTCTCTTATGCAGCCAAATTCATATATAGCACCCTACATGGTTTGTTGCTTTTTGTTACAGTGGAGGCTGATCACAATGGTGTGAATTGGTTTGTGTATTTATTGGTGTTGGTCTCTCTTAGTAAGAATTTCACCAGGTGCCAGAAACATTCTTGAAACTGTATTTAGTTCAAGGTGCTGTGGCTCATATAAAATGAGAAAATACACTAGAATCCTTGACTATGACTAGAAGCCTGCAAACTGTGATGAATTTTGGTATGAGAAGATGATGCTGATGTGTTTAGAGGATGAGCTGTGTCATATGGAGCCTCAATCAGTTTTCCATTTTTGATTCACTGTCAGTATCCCAGCTCTTAAGCCATATTGCTTCTGAGTTTTTGACATGTCAAAATCAAGCAGAGGTTAATACTTTCATGGCTATATATTCACATTCACAATTCCATAGGAGAAATTTCAGGTTACTTAGTATTTTTAACTTCTGTTGTTTCCCTGTGCTATTCGTGAGATTGCTTGTGTATCTGGTCCTTAAGGGTGTCTTATCCCTGTTTCTTCTCTCTTCCCTTTGGACGTAGCAGAGTGAGCAACTTACATTTTACTTACATTTTACTTACTAACCTAGTGTGATGTTTTGCAAAACAATCAAAACATAGTGGAGAATAATGCAAGCTTAAAAACAAATTGCAGATTGATTTGTTCTGTTCCCTGTTTAAGTCCCTGCATGTATGTCCTCTCAGCCACAGTGAGCATCCCTTCTTCCCTTGTTTTCTTGCAAGCTATGAAGTTTACCTCTAGCACAAATAGGAGACAGAATAGTTAGGGAGGGTAATAACCCATATGGGTCTAACAAATCCAATTTACTGTTGTATACACTATATCGGCCAGAGAACTTTGTGAGTACAGAAGATAGCTTAATGGTCTTGCTTCGTTTATTGCTTGCTTAGATTCAGGATCAATTCTTTGATACAGGAAGTGATTAAAATGGGGAGCAAAGACATGTTTCAGCTCCTGAAAGTATGATTTCATTTATTTCATCCTTCAAACATTCTCTTCTCCTCAGATGATTCTCTGCATATATCCTGAACAGCACGAAGATAGTATTGTGTTTTTCAGTTGTAGAAGGTAACAGCTTTGAGTCTCGGAAATGAATGGTTAGTTTGTATTTGTACGTTCCTTACTTGCTGGACTGTGAAGTGTTACTTTTTTGCAGGTTTATAAGTAAATAAATTTGCAAGAAGTTACTATAATACATTGGATACAAATTGGCTAACTGGGAATTATCCCTTTCATTTTGAAACTTTGTAGCTTAGACACCTTTGTATTTTCATATTGGCTTTTGTGAGCAGTTCTGAGTGCAGGCAGGTGGGAGAGTTCTTTTTTGCGTTGCTATTGAGACATCCAGTGTCCTGCAAGTCTGGATGACTTCTCCTAGGATGCAAACTGTCTTAAAGAAACAAAAACAAAACCAAAAACCTTTCCAAGCTGTTGAATCTTGAATGCAGACACACACAAAAAAAAGGCAGGCATCAGTCTTCTTTCTGCTAATACGTTTCTCTTTCTAACCTAGGTCACCCAGTTCAGTTCTACAGCATGAACAGGCCTGCATCTCGACATACCCCCCCAACAATAGGGGGTTCTTTGCCATATCGGCGTCCTCCTTCGATCACATCACAGACAAGCCTTCAGAACCAGATGAATGGAGGACCATTTTATAACCAGAACCCAGGTAAGGAACTTTTTTCCCTCTGTTGAATTCAACACAGTGGTGAATGGAGTGGCCCTCAGGTCTCTAAAAATCTTATGTTCTGTCTCCATTGCAGATCTTGCAGGTAGTCTCAGGTGCCTTCCAGTGTGTTGCTATTAGACAAGCTTTGGTCCTTTAGTAGCCCATATCTTATGTATCTGCTTTGGTGGCTGTTTGATTTTGCACCAGAACACTGATTCTTCATTGATCAGTCTTTATCTTGTATGCTTTTTCCTTTTGATTAATGGACAGTTCAAGAAATTGCACTTGTTATACAAGGGTTAGCATTAGACACTTTAGAGATATTAGTGGTGTTTGGTATGGAGTGCAAGGGAGCTGTGTCATCTGGTAAGTCCACAGGTGATACTGTTTTAAAGGGCAACCTGTCTTAAAAAGCAGGATGAGCCACTGAGGAGGAGTAGCATGTCCTGTGTGTCAGGGAGAATGCAGTGGCATTTCATCTGAGGAGTCCTTTTCCCTGTGCTTCTGATGCAGTGTGAAGGTTTCGATAACAAAGTAGGGGAGACTTGCTTTTTTGACAAAGCTGCATAAGATGCAGGGGACATACTGAAGGTTCCTCATTAGGAAATTGTAGTGGTTTAGGCCCAGTGCGCAACTGAGCACCACGATGCCCCAAAAAGGGGGCTAGTCAAAATAAGGACTGGGAGGGCTTCTCACCACTTAAGCTGACATGGGAAAATGACAGTCTCATCATAGGGAGAAAAACAGAACAGTTTTAATTTGTTACTAACAACATCAGAGTAGAACAGTGAGAGATACAACCAGATCTTAAAGTTGAACACCTTCCCCCTACCTCTCCCTTCTTTCCGGGCTCAGCTTTGTTCCTGATTTCTTCACGTCCCCCCTTTGCCCAGGGGAGCAGGGGGAATGGGAATGAGGGTTGCAGTCAGTTCATCCCATGTGGTCTCTGCTGTTCCTTCCTCTTAAGGGGTAGGGGAGGACTCCTCCCACTCTCCCTCTGCTTCCATGTGGTGCCCTTCCCACAGGAGAAAAAAAATCCACAAAAGTCCAATGTGGGTCTGCCCACAGCTGCAGTTACCCCACGCACAAAAACTGCTTCAGCCTAAGTCCACAAAGCTCCAATGTGAGTCTGCCCATGGTCACAGTTTCCTCACACAAGAACTGCTCCAGCACACACTGCCTGGAGTCACAGCTTCTTCAGGGGCAGCCCCTGGGGGGCCCTCCACTGCTCATGGGGCCCTGCCCCAACCGGTGAACTCTACAGGCTGCAGGCGGCCGACCTGCGCTCTTGCCACAAGTTGCAGGGAGAACCTTGGCTCTGTGCCCTCCTCCTCGCACTTCTTCCCCTTCTCCTTCCTTTCCTCAACTGACCTTGGTGTTTTTTAAAGTTGTTCTCCTCAGGTCTTACTCCTTTCTCTGCTGCAGGTCCCTTCTGATGGTTCTGCAGAGTTCCTGGCTCTCTCTTTCAGGCTGGACCTGCAGTGGGGCTTAAGCTTAAGCTGAAGCAAGGCTGAGGCCACACCACCTGCACCTGGGGCTGCGCTGTCAGAGAGATAGTGCCCTGCACTGCCCTTAAATACATGAATTTGCAGGGGTGCTGATTGGCTTGGCCTTGGTCAGAGGTGGGCCTGACATTGGAGCCAGGGGAGCTTTTCAGGTAGCTTCTTACAGGGCTATGTCCATTGTCATCCCCCACTACCAAAACCCAAACTCCTCACAGTAAAACCCAGTACAGAAATGCCCTGTTACCAGCATGATTGCATGTTGACTTGCAAGCACTGTGGTGTGTTGTGGTGGTTTGTTTTTTACATTGAGCACTGAACTTCGAATTGGGTCAAATGCTGCAATCTGCATTTAATGCATTTGATCAGGCTCAAATATTACTACTTGTGAGCTACACTGCAGAGGTGTGTGTGCTTAACTTCAAAAGAAGTGGATGGTTCTGCTGGGGTCAGGTGGGTGGAGGAGGTTATATGACTAAATTGCAGCCCAGTTGACTGAAATACGTGGTATTTGTTAAGCACATTATGTGCATATTGAATGCTGAAGGAGAATAGACAAGAAGGAAAGGGAAATAACAATAAAAGAATTCTTTCAGGATTACCTTTGTAGCGGAGAGGATTTTCAGTATATCCAGAGAGTTTCTGACAACTGCTGTGCATTTCTGCTTTAGCAAAGGGATAATTCTCTGAAATTCTCTGCATTATTAATAGGTAATAATAGAAAATGCCAAATAGACTTTAAATAAGTTACATAAGCACAATCTAGTCTGTGTACTCAATAAGAAGATAATGATTATGGTGATTAGTCACTTGAGCTGTAAATCACAAACAAAATACTTCAATTATCCTGGCATACTTGATAGAACATTTAAATAAGCAGTTGTAGTAAGAGACTTTTTTTAATATACCTAGCAGAATACAGCACTTGCTAGCTTTGCAGTTATATGAAACCAAGGTTTGGTTTTTTTTTTTGCCTGTACCTTGAACGGAGAAGATACTCAAGCATGCATAATGGATGAAGACCCTAAGAACAGAGGAACTGTTGTGTCTGTAAGAGACAGGGTTAGTAGTGACAGGACAGAGACTTCTCAGCATTCCAGAAGAGAGGGAGAGAACGCAAATTTAAGAGGTGCAAGAGACCTTACAGCGGGCAGAGGAGTGTGCCAGCTGCGGCTTATTCTTCTTTGCAGGCCGTTTGGCAATAGAACAGTACTGTTTTTTCCACTTCCATTTTTTAGTATGTTGGCATAGTCATTTTTGTTTATTCACAAAAATACTTGCCTTGCCTTGTTCTTTTGAATACCACTTCTTAGATAATACAGTTTCTTTACTTCATGGTGAGGCCTTTTTAATGATTGAAAAGAAATTGTTAAGAAATGCAGACCTTAAATGATCTCAACATACATCTATCCCAAATCCACTCTTGCCATATGCGCCACCTAAACAAATGTTTTGACTTTACAACCTTAGGTACTAGTATCTAAGCAGTATAAAGCTCAGCAGAGGCTAAAAACCCTGGGGGAGAAACTGAGAGAGTATTGAGATGGTGGTCTGCACTACATGCCACTTGTATAGCAGAATTCTTACCAGGCTGAAGCAATCTAGGGGAAGGTGCTCTGGAGCTTTTCTGAATTAATTTACAGCAACTGTGTAGATGAACTCTTAATTTACCAATGGTCTAGATGGAAGGAAGTTGGGAGGGAATGTTTAAGCTGATGTTTGTCTTACCTTTTGAACAGCAGAGGTACAGTAAAGTTCTTCCAATGCACTTTATAAACAAAGTAATTATTAATAAAATATTTATTGTATTGGTTCCTAAAGGTCAAAACTAGCTTTTTTTTATCATACAGAGACAACAAAATATGATAGTCCCTGCAGTGTGCATAGGCTGAAGCACAAACCAAATGGTTAAGATAAACAAGGAATGATGTCAGCTAGTGTTAGCATCACCATTTTGATTAAACTATACAACCCAAACTAAACAAAGGGGTTTATTTGTATTTGCTTGGAGTGCTTGTCTAGAGTGATTTATTTTTCTGTGTTATTTCTTTCAAAGAAATATATGTAGCATGCAAACTCAGTACACTGAAGGGACATAGGAAACTGAAGCTAGTTTCATATGATAGATAGGAATTGTAGGAATCCATATGACACTGAATAGAGGAAACATTTTGAAACTGACCATTTTATAGCATATATAATTAAAAAGGCAGGGACTTCATACATGCATAAGAATGCTGAATTCATGGATATTACTGCATTTCAGTAGGACTTAAAATTCAAGTTCCTTTTTCCTGTTTTGAAAAAATGCAAGACTAAATCTTTTTTCAGCTACTATGGTTACACTTGAAGGAATAAATACTCTCAGAGGTCACATCATTCAAGTCAGAGAAGCTGTAATTATAAAAGTATTTCACTTTTTCTCAAGAAATATCAATCAAATGATGAGATAATGGAGCTTGCTTTATATGGAGGTACAAGGATATTTTTGGAACAAAAAGGATGGTTGCTCTGTTTTTTTGTTTGGGGTATGTGGTTGTGAAAGGAATGTGAATGCGAGTGACAGAAGAAATTCAGAGCACTTCAGGGAATAGTTACTGAAATACGCAAACAGAAGAAATTTTGAGACATGAATTTTAAATACCCTGGAGTTCTTTTCATTTGCTATGATGATGTGAATTAATGCTGAAAAATACTACATCATACCTAGCAGTTTTCTTACCAGTTCTGAAATTTACTTAGTTCTGTTCTGCAAGCTAAATAAATGTACTGCCACATGAAGCGCAGACCTTTTCCCCTTATTCTTCTGAACATGACTAAATGTTTTGTATCCCACTACTAACAAGAAAATTATTTAGTTGTACTTTTCATGAAAAATAATCTTGTAACTTGCTGTCACATAAAGGGTATGAGTCTGATATGTGGCTGTGGAGGGGGAAGCCCTCCCATTGAGTCACGAGGTTTAGGAAGGACCCGCTTGCTCTCTAAACTCTCCTCAAGACAGGAGCCTAGGTGCAGCTGTATCCAGCCTTAGTCTCAGACTTGGTCAATGGTTTATGTCTAATAGTGATTATGTGGGTAGCCACTTACGAAAGTAAATGTTTGCCTGTTCAGAGCCCTCTCAAGAGTTTTCACTGAAACAGGTTTGCAGAATCACAACATTTGCTTGTTTAGAGCCCTCTCAGGAACTTTCACTGAAACAACCTGTTCAGAACCCTCTGAGGGACTTTGACTGAAACAGCTTAGCAAAGTTGAAAGAGATAAATTATTGATTTAAGGCAACAGATAAAATAGATTCGGAATTGCTAGTGATAAATGCACTGTCTTACACAAATATAAATGGCATCCCAAAATGTAAATGTGTATCTCTGTAACATTAACTACCATTAGTCATACATATACTACAATAAGCAAGCACTACAATAAGCTTAGATTGATAGCACTATAGCTATCGTGATTCTTACCTAAAAGGCATCCCTGCTTGGGGAGGGAGAGATGTTCAACCTATCTGATCGTTGGTGTTCTTGCCTTCCTTCCCCCTATAGTTAAGGATTCTAAATGTCAGATTTATACTTCTGGCAAGGTGGGACTTAAGTCAATTATTGTGTTGGTTGGCTCTTAGCAAGGCTCATTATGTGTTTGATCAAGGCGGGGACATGGCAATTAAAAGCAGTCTTCTTGGCTTCACCGAAGTAACATCAGGCTATGAGGCCTCCTCCTCACCCCAGGTGTCACTTGGTTGATTCAGTGCTAAACTGCTAGTGCTTATCAGCCTGAGATAAACATGGTGCTGAGCCTCTGCACTTGTTACTCTCCATCCAACACCCCTACATGAGCCTTGCCCTTCCCATTGCACACTTTCTTAGAGACGATTACTGCATTACTTTTGCAAAGTGAGACTAAAACTAGATAAAAGTAGTTAAGTAGTGTTTTAATTTAACCAGAGAAATGAAACTTTCATTTCTGGCCTAAACCACAGTTAAGTGATATAACATTTGCAGCTGGCTGATAGTATATTCTTTAAATGTGAATTGACATTTATTGTACGGACAGCTCTTGTAGTACCAGCAAAAGGGCTGATTAGAGTTCAATGCATGGGTCTGTGAAATCAGGTGGGAAGGAAACAAGGCAGCACATCTGGAATAGGCCCTGTTGTTTGACTGCAGCACAGTGCGCTTTGTTCTACCAATAAGGTCAGAAATCCTGTGTTTTCCAAGTATGCTCAGTTCTCAAAGGCATCTTTTTCTGTTTTGCATAAAATAACTTGCCTCACTTGATGATGAGGGTTTTTTGTCTATGTTTTGGAGAAAGCCAGTTATAGCTGTTTTCATTACTAAGGATTCATGGATGCTCTTACAGAAGTTACCTCTATAAAGATCAATTTGATCTGAAAGGTGAAGGATTATAGGGAGAGAATCCTCTTGATGTATTTGTTAGTTAGGTCTGTTCATAGAGTGCTAGATTGCTGTAGTGATAAACTTCAACTTAAGGGAATTTCGTAGTCAGATAAGAAAAATACTTCAGCATGGATTCTTAATCTTATGAAATTGAGTTGGGTTGGAAATTTTAAAAATAGAGAAATCTCCTTGAAGTAAGAATCAGGAATATGCTTAAACCACCTGAGCCATTTTTCTCTGAATGTCAGCCTTTTTATCTCAGCTTCTTGGCAGACTGCTACGCTGTCTGAGTGGTGATGATGCCTACTTTCCTGTTTGACGCTTTGTTGTGTTTCTAACTGAATGCCTCTCTTTTTAATTTCTGTGGCAGCATCCCTTGCTCCTCCTCCCCCCTCCATCCTACAGGTAACTCCACAGTTACCGCTAATGGGATTTGTGGCCAGAGTTCAAGAAAACAGTAAGTTTGCTGCTTCCTTGTGCTATGATTTGTTACTGAATGTGGCTTTTGTTTTGAGTGGATGAAAGATTTGTCTGTATACAGCCAGAATTCTGTCCTTACTTTCTCTGCAAGTTTATCTGAAATTGTGAATGGAGGGAAAAGGAAATAATTTTACTGGGGGAACCCGATTCTTCCTTCTCTGTATTTTATTATCTCTAGTATATTTCTTCAAGTTCTAACTGTTGGTCCCAGTGCAGCTAATTGGGTTAGGAAGTATTACTTGCTACCATAGTTCTAGAGACATTTTCATGGTGTTATGATTGCTTATTTTCAGTTTCAGATACTCCTCCCCCACCACCTCCTGTGGATGAGACAGTGTTTGATGAATCTCCACCTCCACCCCCACCTCCAGAGGATTATGAGGAGGAAGAAGCAGCTGTGGTGGAGTACAGTGATCCATATGCTGAGGAGGACCCTCCTTGGGCACCAAGGACCTACTTAGAAAAGGGTAGGTTTAGAGCTAGTAGAGATGGTAGGGTCACATTTGTAATGTTTTTATGTAAGCTCCTGCCTTCCCGCTTTGGACGTGGAGTCTACCTAGGCTCCTTTGCAGCCAGTATTTGGTACTGTGGTAGGGGTGCTCCTCCAAATGGCAACTTAAAGAATGAAAGTTAAGCTACTCTTCTGAGACTGACACTTTCACCCATTTCTCCGCAAAGGGAAGATAATGATTAGTTGGCTAATTACATATTTTTAAAATCCTCTGTAATCTATTTAAGACTCACCTTTCAGTAGTCTGCTTAATCCTAATAATCAAACTCATATGAGGCTCAAAATGATTGAATCAGTACTGCAGTTGCACTTGAACTTTTAACATATGGGTGCATCAGCAGAAGTGCTGCAACATGTGTTTGGGGCTCTGGAGGCTGCAGTGCTGCATCAGTGTGGGGCCGTCCTGAGCTAAAAAGTGCTGGGTCTGTGTAGGACTGTAACTGAGGCATTGCTGCATGGCTGCATCTGTATGTCTTCCGGTTCTGAAGCAGATGTGTGGAAGCATGCTGGAGTATAACTACGGGTAAAATAAATGGAGTACGTAAATGGGGCACTTGAACATGAAAAAATCTACTGCCTGGTTTTCTGTGAAACAGGGTCATATAGTAAAGGGTGACATAAAATCTAATATCACAAAGCAATCAGGCATCTCAACTGAGTGACTGTTAGTCACATTCAGTGTACATCAGGGAAAAACAAAATCAAGAATACTGTAAAGATAAACCCAATGCAGGACTTGAGGGGAAGGAAGAAAAACCAGTTGGAAGAGGTACTTTCTGCGAATTCCAGCCCAAAGAAAATATTCCTATTCCTGAGGGAGATGGAGGAATATGTTGGAGTGTTTTTTGTTATTCCCCCACCCTCTGTCTAGTTGGTGTAAACGTTCAGTGCAAGGAGTGCCCAGGCTTTGCTGATGAACTGAGACCATTTGTCAGACAAAGTCGCTGACTTGCAGGTGTTTACATGATTCACTTTATCTATTGACCTCTCTGCACCCCTGATTGACAGCAAGTGTCGCTATTATTTTGTTGATGCACACAGGCTCTTTGTTTGATTAAAAGTTGCTTCAGCTTATTCTTGTCAGGGGAGCTTATTTCCATGAGGGAGGGTAGGGAAAAAAGGGATCTCGTGTACAAAGTGATTTTCGTGTTGTGCAGCTTGGAGGGTATTTCTGATTATTGGTATTAGTTACTTGATTTCACAAAATCAGGTTTTGGAGTGGGGTGGAGTTCCTGATACTGCATTTATTTTCTGGGGGGAGGATGGCAAATTTCTTCAGGGTGGGACCAGTACAGGTCATTTCAGCAAATACTGGATGTGCTGCATTATGTAATGAACTCCTGATCAGGCAGATTTAAGAATGAGCAGTGGCTGCTCAGTTTCATTGTGTTTGATGTATTTTGTGCTGGATGAAGATTGCAGGCATTTTACTTTTTGATAGGAGAGTGAGTCTCAAGATTTTTCTCTGTATTTTTCTGGGCATAAGACACTCTTTAGCCTAATTCTACATTCATATCACTATCTTTGCTATGTTTCTGCTACTCCTGCACCTGGCCCTCAGCAAATCCTCAGTAGCATTTCAGCTAAGAGCAAAAAAAGGAAAAAAGAGGACCCTAATGTGTACTGCCTGTTCATAGTATCTCATACTAATTCACAGTGTCTATGTGTGTGTTTGTGGGGAGGAGAAGCCATGAAATTGTGTGGCACGTGGCCTGGTAGAACAACTTTGTATTTGAAGAAATAATGACATTTGTGTTATATGTTCTGTTCAGATCTGCTTTTCTGTGTGACTTCTGTGAGCCTGTGAACTAAAACAATTTTATAGGTGCATATATACACAGATCTGTTCCCTCTCAGCAGGCAGTCCAGGCACTTGTAGTTTGATATTTATAGGAAGAATCATGTGGGATAACCAAACTGTAATGGGAGTCTTTAAAGATAAGTCACAGAAAGTCAAGCTTTTAATCAGAACTTTTTTTCCTGCAGAAAACCAGAAGTACAGGAGACTAAACATTCTCTTGTACTGATGCAGAGTCCCATGCAAAAAACCATAATTATTTTCTATATTTTGAAAACTAGATGACTAAAACATCTAAAAGGTTGGTCTGTTCTTAGAAACACTTATAAAAGTAATAAATTTCAAGTGCTTACAGTATATGAAGAACTGTTAGGATACCAGAAAAAAATACGATATTGCCATAGGCGTGGATTGTGTTTAGTTATATGAATAGCTCTACTTATATTCAACCCATGTCTTGAGATTTGACTGCTTTGTGGAGCTGGGAGAGAATTGCTTGTCTGTGACTTTTTTGTAGCAAACAAGCTTTAAAGTTAATGAAAAAGTCCCATGCTAAACGAAGATTTTCATACTTAAAGAATGTATTGCTTATCCTTCTGTGAACTAATAATCCTTTATCTTCTGCAAAATAATTATTCTAATGGCAACTCCTTTAAGTTCATATAAATAGTGTTCTGTACCACGTGATTCAAAGCAGACAAAACCAATGGAAGTGAATGGCTGCTCAAACACTATTACCCCCAGTAAGTAGAGTGGCAATTCCTAGAATTTGTACTTGTTCTTTTGGTATGACTGTTCACTTATTTAAGTTCATATGAAAGCATTTCTAATGGGATTGGTGTAGATAATGTTTGCAAAAGTGAGAATGTAGAAGCTGGGACACCAAGGAGGTATCAAATACAGAGGGTTGCTATGTATTGAGATGGGATTCAGTATGATCCTGTTCTATAAAGGGGTCATGCTGTGTGGGAGGTATGTCTAACATTAAGACGTGCTCTAACCTACAGCTGAGGAAGGAAGTGAATAGCAAATCTATTTTGAACAGATGGAGAAACTCTTAGGTAGGATATGGTTACTGTGGATGTTGAGCTTTGAGGATGCTACCTCATGGCTGTAATAGCAATGACTAACCAGCAATGTCCAGGAAAGCACACTGCAGTTTTCCGTTGAGCTGTATGTTTGGGTGTGTGGCATGAAAAGGTAAGAAAATGTCCCAGCCTTGCAAATCAGATGGACAGACATGGATATCCAGAAGGAAAAATTGTCCTCATGCCACATAGAGAAAGTATGTGGACACAGCTATTGGATTTCAGTTGGATAATAGTCTGGCCAACATTTGTGGTCAGTTTGATGTTACAGAGTTCAGCCAAACTCTGTGTAATTGTTGAAGAACCAAAGATCACTGACTGGAGGAATAACAACCTAAATGAGTAATTTTGGTTTTCATATCTGTATTGAAGTGTGTTCAGATAGAAATTAAAAGAGGTCCTGGCTCAGTCTCGCAGGGAAGGATGCCACTTCCTGAGTCACTGTTGCTGCTTCCTGTCGCTTCTGGAGCATTTTGTGCAATGCTGGCCTGGGTTCCTGGTAACTCATGGTATGTGACAAGCTCACAGCTTGAACTGGTGGGGCTACAGACAAAATGGTTAAACAGTCTTTTAGAGAGAGGAATATTGCCAGCACAAAAGTAAGATGCAGGAGGAAGCAATGGTGATATAAAAACAAAACCAGGCTTCAGGTAATTTTATAAGAGGCTTAACACAGAGCAAATTTTAATCACAAACTTACGGAAGAGTTTCCTACTTGTGATTGTGAAAGAATGAATCCGTTCAGTCTCAGAAGGGACTAGAGTACACTCAAAAATGAGAAAGAAAGGAATTGGAATTTACTGTGATCCTTAGATTATTATTATCAAGAGAATGAAGAAAAACAGCACAGTGAGTCTAGGAGGAGATGTTTTAAACTGAACAGGTATAAGAAGGCAGTTAAAAAGGAATCTTAGAGGACTTTAACTGAATGTCTCACATTTTCATATAGTGACTTCTGGTTTTCAAGGTAAAAATTTACTAATTTCTCCATTTGTGCTTTGTTTCCTTGGAATGATATGTCCACATCTAGTTAGAATGAGTTACTTAACAACTGTGCTGGCATAAGTGTAGAGCCAGCAACATGTGTTTTTTAAATATGCTCTGGTCAAATGATATAAATCTCCTTGTTGTTAGATTTATTTAAAAAAAATAATCTCTGTTCATACTCTGATTCTCCAGTGGGATTGATTTGTATGTTTTACTTTATAATCTCTTCAGGATCCAGGTTTCCTTAGTAAATATTTGTATTGATTCTTTTGTTTCTCAAAAGGAAATGACCTCTTTTCTTTTGAAAAAAATGATGAGTTTAGTAGGACTCTTGGACACTGTGCTCATGAACACATGCTGTTAATTTTTTCTCCTTGCTTTGGCTTGGAGAATCTTCCCCAGTCAAAGATTTTAGGATCCCTGTCCAACATCCATTTTGTTTCAATGACAGCACTGCCTGCCTCACTGCCAAGTGCTCAGAGCAGTGACTGATGCTATTTATTAAAGTATTCAGAGTCCAGTGTAGCTGGTTTTCTGTATGGAACACATAATGGTAGGACTGAGAATGGAAAAACATATCAAGTTAATATCTATTTTCTGCCATTTCAGGACAGTGCTCTCTTTAATCTTTGCCAGTCCTTTCTCCAATTTCTTTGACTTTCCTAACAGCTTTTGTGCCTTCAGTAAAATATTATGCAGCTATAAGAGAAATGTCCTAATACAGTAAGCATACATTTTGTTTCAGAGAACCACCTTACTTCTTCCTAGCTCCTAACTGGGATTCAACCACCTTGGCACTGTATAGCCAGGGAGTGACTTCTAGCTACAGGGACTGCACATATGCAATTTACAGATTGAAATGTGGAGGTAGCTAAGGTGGATGCAAGTCTGGGATGTCAGCTGTGGCTCCTTCTTACTGGGATCTGAAGAGAGCTCTTTTCCTCTTCCATGCTTTCCTGCTGTCTGTTCATTGTGCAGAGATCTGGTTTTGCACATGTATCTAATACATGAATCTTGGAGTAGGTCTGCATGGTCATAGCCATGGGAAAGGTACACCCACCTCTTTGTATCATTCCACACCAAAAGTTGATCATATATTTGTAAACATTTCCTCTGATGTGTCTGGAAATAGTAAGAATAGAAGAGCTAAAGTAGTCCTAGCTCATGTGCTTCAAAGCATGAGCTCTTATAGAAGGGGTTGGAAGAAACTGCCCCTCTCAGCAGATCACTCTGCACACATAGAGGTGAAGCAGTGCAGTTCTCTGAGACTGCCTTGAATGTTGGAGAACTGTGTATGACATAGGTTGATTTTTTTCCCTCCTCCTCCCTGTAGCTCTCCTAACAGTCATGCTCTCTTGTTTCCTAGTGGTGGCGATCTACGACTACACAAAGGACAAAGAAGATGAGCTCTCCTTTCAGGAAGGCGCCATCATTTATGTCATCAAGAAAAATGATGATGGCTGGTATGAGGGGGTGATGAATGGAGTGACGGGGCTCTTCCCAGGGAACTATGTGGAGTCAATCATGCATTACTCAGAGTGAAGACCAGAGGACAGAACGCTGCATCTCCTGCTGCAGGAGCTGTCAGGGCTTCCCAGATCTCCACCAGCCTCTGGGGCCCCATCCACTATAACTGAATGAAGGATAATTGTAACAACCACTCTTCTGGTTTTTTTTTTTCCTCATTATAAAACAATAGTTATTTGAGTTGTTGGAACAAATGGCTCTTCCAGCTGCCAGCAGAGGCTATCCTGAGCCATCTGGAGTTAAGCTGACCCATTCAGATGCAACAAACTCATTGAGTAGCTGATACTTCATTCGAATTCTGACTTCTTCTGACAGGCTTTGGGATCTGTCTCAGGAACCCTGTGTGCCCTTCATGGTACTATCCTTGGCAGCAGTGCCTGGCGCTTGGGATGTCCTAGATGCTTGCAGTGAAGGGTTACTGGCCAGTGCACATCCCTCCTGTTTCTACACTACACTCCTGTGCAGCTGGAAGAACAGTTTTGTGCTAGCAAAGACTGGGATTTCTACACAGAGCCGATCCTGTAACTGACTTCCAGATAGTTGGATCCATCTTTAGCATAAACACTTCTGCAGCTGCTCTGCACATGTAGGCTGACACAGGGGCACACAGAGATGGCTTTCATTCACTCACCTTTCAGTTTAGACAATTAAGATGGCTGCAGCCCAGAGGACCCCCACCCCCCATTTCCTCATCTTTTGAATGCCACAGATACTTGTTTTGTGTTCTGCACTGATGTAAATGTGCTTCTCTCTGCAGCGAGCTACTCGCCGTGGGTGCTGCCACTTTAAACAGAACTCACAGATGCTGTTGACGGTGAAGGCAAAACAAAGTTTACAGGTCCTCCTGGGGTCTGAGGGATAAGCTCTAGGGGGCTGTGATCTAAGGTTCGAATCTCCTCACGCCTGCTTGCACTAGAGAAATTTACCCCCAACTTTAGTGTTATGCACAATATAATCTTAAAAATCCAATCAGGTATTGTAAATTGGCTATTTTGTACTTGATGACTCGATTTGCATATGTACTGTGAGAGCCCTGTGCAGAGGCAGGACAAACGGCAATTGTCGTCTTCATGTCTGTTGCCAAAATTATCTTCAGTGGAAGTAAAAAGGGCTGTTGTGTGTACTGGTTTCCCATGGAAATCCAAGCAGTAACTAGTAGTAGTCCTAGCTCTTCCCCCAGCCTTCTCCATTGTTTATTATAAATAAATAAATATTTTGAGCTGTACTGGTGGATCTGGGATGGAGTAATACCAAGTGAAGGCTCTGTAGCCCCCTGTGTTGATAGTTTGCTTTATAATCTAGTCTCGGTTAAAAATGCTGCTCAGTGATTCTGCCTAGCTGACCAGTGTAAAGTGACAGCTGTACTAGTCTGCCATTAGGAAGGACTAAATGTTATCTTTGGGTAAATGTCATGCATTAACAGAGTGAACTGACTAAACCTCCTGTTGCAGTCCTGTTAGCCTGCAAATTGAGCTGACCTCTGTATTGTGAGAGCCTCCTGGGCCGGGACATCTTCCCAGACAGCTTTTGTCTGTCGCCTGGCCAAGACAGTGCTGCAGCAGGCTCCTGAGGCCTGGGTGTAAAACAGAGCAGTGCACAAGACCGTGCTACCGGGGCTGAGTTTGTGATGTTTTGAAACTCTGGTTGTGCAGACACTGGAATGACTAGTGACACACTAGACTAGTGACACAGGCAAGTCTACATGTTTTGCGCAGGGAGGTGGTGCTTGTGGCCTGGATGATTGCATAGCTGTATTGCACAACCTTTGGTGCTCACAGGGTGGCTGTTTTCCAGGACTATCAGAGCTTTCCTGATTTCTTTTGTCCTGGGTATGTCTGTGACAAAGACTGAGCACACCGTGCTCGAATGCATCCAGTTATGGCAGCTTAGTGAGTTACTACGCGAGAGCTGAGCCTCTCCCTGGGCACCCGTGCTCCGGCTGGGAGGTCATGTATTAGTGAAACATGTCTTTAACTCAGTCCCTGTAAGAGCACGTGCTTGAATACTTCTGAGAGGTGGGTGGGGATAGTGTGCACTTCCACTGTGTGTGATACACACCCGTGTCTCATCTTCATTCAGCTGGTTGTTCATCTTGCAAGTTTTCTGTGGTGCGAGAGCAGAGCACTGAGAACTCTGGGAAGTGCTGAATGCGTGGCAAAGCTCAGCAGATGAGGCTGCAAAACCTTGGAAGTGGAATGTGTGAACCTCCTTAAAGAACTCGCATTGGGCTGATGGGCCAGGGTTAGTTTAGTCCTTGCCGATAGCGTGTGGAATTACTTATTCTGCAAGAACTTCTGTGGATGGAATTTGTCGGTCATCTCCTGCTGGTTTTATGTTTTATTATGCAGTACTAATGTAAAGAAATTTGTTGAGTTTTATGCATATTTTTTTAACATCTTAATTCTGTGGCTGCTTTGGGGATGATGTGATGTAATGGTCATAGACCAGGCCAAGGTAAACAGGCTTTTGTATATTAATGTTACATAGATTGCATGCAAGTAAAGTCAGTAGGAGTTGTGTTTCCAGTTTTCTCCCTTGTACTTCTCCTTCTCCAAAACCTTCCCCCCTCCCTCTTTTTAATTTACATGTTTACTTTAAAAGGGAGTGGAGAATGGAGGGGGCGTGAAACACCACAGTATTTCAAGTAGGTGCACAACATCTCTTCACCAAGTTCTGCTGGCACAGCTGAAGGTGTTTGGCATCACAGGCTGTTAAAGCAGCAGTGTGTACACATGAGAGACAGGTGGGGAGAGGAGGCACTCCAGAATAGCCCAAAGAGTGCTGTATGGCCAAAGTAAGTATGGTTTTCCATTTGTAAGAGCTGCCTTAGCCCAGCCAGCTGTTTTCATTGTACGTAGAAATTGGTCAGCATCCTGTAGTGGTGTATTTTGCTTTCATTTGCTGTATGAGAGATTTCTTCCTTGCTCTTGACCCTAGGGACAAAGCTATTAACTGCAGCTGTAGCTCTGCTGTGTCCTTGCATGCAAGTAGGTCTGACCCATCTAGCATGGAAGCAGGTTATTTTTGGTGCCCTTGTTTCAGTCTGAGAGAGATGGCTGAGGTTGCATATGTCTCACCCATGGCTTTTTTCTCTTCATTTCTCTCTTTTTTTTTTTCCCCCTTCCCCCCCCCCCCCCCTGTTGGATTCATGGTCTTTTTCTCTCACTGGCTGTTGCAGCAGAGGACTGAGAGGGGCAGGAGACATAAGCAGCACATTTTGTGCTTGAGCATCCTGATGGTGTGCCCATGCCCACGGGCTGGAGTAGACACCAAAGACTTGCTGGCCTGACTGGTGAGACATGGGCAGACACTGATGCACTGCAGAGCCTTGCTGTCATGAGAGAGAACAAGAGAGGCCCCAGGGGTAGATGGTAGAGCTTTGTGTGTTAGCAGGAGGTTGACCATGTTCCTGGGACTCTGCATGTCCTTGTGATAAGTGGCAACAGGAACAAGTTGAGTTGGGAGTTCATGGAAGTGGCTGGAGATTGCTTCTGGTTTGAATCACAGCTCCCCACAGTCCCAGTGAGCTGTGGCTGGGTTGCTTACCAGTGGGTGGAGAAGGGCTTAGACTGCTGGGTCTAGTTCTTGCTAGAGCAGTTTGTTCTCCTTTCACAGCTCCTGGCCATCTTCTTTCTTTGCTGCTGAGTGTTCTTGCTGACAGCTAAAGTTGACAGTGGCAGTGACCCAGCTTCTGAAAAGTGGCACTTCTTTTATCTAAGGCATTTCAGTCGATCGTGAAAAAAGTGAGGCAGCAGCAGGACCGATGCTACATTCTGGCAGAGAATGGGCTGCCTGCTTGGTGTGTATGTATGGGTGTGTATCATCAACTGAACGTGGAGGAGGGTTTTGCACTGATGCAAACTGTTGTGCTTCTGTGGCATCTCCCACCTGTGCTTGACCGGGGGAGTTGCTGGGAAGAGCCCAGCATTAAGCCACCACTTCCTAGCAAGCGCTGTGGATGTGCCTCTCTGCTGGAAATGAGCTCTTTTTATTAGTGCTATCTATGGGCTTCAGGCATAAATAAAAAGCAAAACTGTCATGATTTCCTTTCTGGAAAGGATGGGACTTTATGTGGGTTAGAAAACTGGGAGCACTTACAGGGCTTCTCCCAGAGGTGGGACAGGACATTTTGTGAAACAGGTACTGTCTGCAGGGGAGGTTGTTGGATGCTGCTAGTGGGTGCTGACCATGGGGCTGTGGCACCTACTGGGAGCAGTACTTGCATTGAGTGGGGAGTCACTGATTGAGCACTACAGCATTTCCGCATGCAGGGATTTCAGTTCCTGTGTTGACAACAGTGGCAGAGTGAGTGTGAGAGAGAAATGTGCAGCAAGGTTGCATTCACTAAGGCAAGTATTTACAACCCTGAGCTCTAGAGAAGATGGTGGTGTAAACTGAGCACTAGCAGGTAGATGATAAGATACAGCTTATGGGGCACCACTCTCAAGAATTTACTGTGCTTAGAGGTACATTCACCTTCTCTACCTCTTGGGATCTGTGTTAGGCACTGCCACATTCTGTGGATGAAATGGTATTACACAGATATAGGTCAGAATAAAGCAAGAAGGGAACAATTTGTGGTTGGGGTTTTTTTTTTTCTTCTCCAGTAGCTGTCTATTGATCTACTTTTAATTTTGAAACTGCAAGAGTGGGACCCCTACCTCATGTCCACAGGAAGATTGCTGAAAGCTTGGTGTGGCCAAGGTTTGCCAACTGCTGTTACAAAGAATAATTCACAGACCATGTAGTTCTCTCGCTTTCATGCAGAAAAATCCACCCCGTGTTTTGTGCAATCTCCTGCCCCTGCAGGAACTGTCTTATTCTTTGGTACTCTAAACATACTAATTTTATTAGCACCTTTGCTTATACAAAACAGTGAAGTCAGCAGTAGCCTGTTGCCCAGAGGTAAGCCTACACCCAGCATCCTGCT